TATCAAAATGCAGAGGTCAACATCATAGATGACAACTTTATCCTAAAGTGGAACAGGAACAATGAGTCTGTCAGAAATGTGACATTTTCGGCAGATTATCAGATACCTGGAATGGATAATTGGACAAAATTACCTGGATGTCAATATATTACTAATACCAAATGCAACTTTTCTTCACTCAAGCTGAATGCTCATGAAGAAATTAAATTGAATAGAAGAGCAGAAAAAAGAAATTACACTTCTTTGTGGTATGAGCTTGACTCATTGATACTATTTCAAAAAGCTCAAATTGGTCCTCCAGAAGTACATTAGAAGCTGAAGATAAGGCAACAATAATAAACTTCTCTCCTCCGGGGATGAAAGATAGTTATCACATAGGCGTTAGATAGTTCAAGCTTTACACATAGCCTAGTTATCTGGAAAAACTCTTCAAGTGCAGAAAAAAGAACTGAAACTGTTTATCCCAGAGATAAAATTTATAAACTCTCACCAGAGACCACCTATTATTTAAAAGCTAAAGCAAGACTACGTTTGCAGAGGGAAGGTGGTGTCTGTAGTCCAGTGTGTTGTATAAATACCACAGTTGAAAATAAACTGGCTCCACCAGAAAATACAGAAGTTAATGTTAAAAAACATTAATGTTTTAAAGTTAACATTAACATTTTAACATTAACAGAAGTTAATGTTAAAAACATTCTTAAATGGGATTACACACACGCAAACATAACCCTTCAAGTTCCGTGGCTCCCTGCCTTTTCAAAAAACCATCCTGGGAACCATTCATATAAACGGAAACAAACACCTGACTGTGAAAATGTTGAAACTATCCAGGGTGTCTTTCCTCAAAACGTTTTCCCAAAAGGAATTTACTTTCTCCATGTATAATACAACCATCTAGTGGAAATGACACATCTCTTTGGTCTCAAGAGAAAAAATTTAACACTGAAATACAAACTATCATACTTCCTCCAGTCATTAATGAGAAATCCATTAGTGAATCACTGCGTGTCTACATCTGTGCTCCAAAACAGTCTGGAAACAGCCCTGTGAACTAGCATTACCCACTAAGTTACGAAACATTTTTTGGAAAAACACGTCAAATGCTGAGAGCAAAACTGTAGAGAAAAAAACTGATTTTACGACTCCTAACTTGCAACCCCTGACTGTAGACTGTGTCAAAGCGAGAGCACACCTTGTGGAAGTGTTTCCAGAGATATCGTGTGTAAGAAAATAAAACCAAGAAATACGTGCAGACCTGGCTTATCACTGGAATTCGCACTGCATTATTTGCTCTCCTGGTTGTCATTTATGCTGTGAAAGTCCTCTTTTCTCTCAGTATTTCTCTGAACAGCCGTTAAAGAATCTTCTGCTTTTGACTTCTGAGGAACAAACTGAAATGTTTGTTCAATTGATGTTTTACAATTTGTTCAATGTTTTACAATTGAAAATCTGAACACGATTGCTACAGTAGAAACTAATCAAATTGATGAAGATGGCAAAAAATCCAGTTCCCATACTGGTCAAGATTCAGGAAACAATTCTAAAGAAGATGAAAATAGTGGAAGTAAAACAAGTAAAGAACTAGAATAGGAAACTGTATGACCAGAAATGAACTCTGTGAAATATTAGGTTATTTTGAGGGAGTTACACTGGAATCCTGAGCTCTTCCTCCTCTCGGTAACTATAAAGAGGATATTTGCTCATTGGGCAAGAAAAAACATCTTCAGATCATAGGTTCCAACAACACAGGCAAGCACTCAACCATTTAAAATGAAACTACAGGAGTCGGGAGAAAAGTTTCCTGCATTCTTTCCCGCGTGTAAAATCCCAAAAGACCTGTCACAGGACTTGTCTTTGATGAGATGAGTCAAATCGAGAAGACGGACAGCTCAGGTGCCACGTGCCAGCTGTGCCCTGTGGCTAAGCATGGCACCTGTGTTCCCGTCACTCACCACCACGGACGCTGCTGGCTACTGCGTGTGTCATCTATTCATTCTTCATGCCCAGTGTTATATTTCATTCTTTTTCAGGAGCTATTTAGAATATTTGGTCTTTTAACACTGAAGTAGGCCCTTAGGAGATTCATTTAGACACCATTATCACATGGTTTTCTGAAATGTAGCTCACCCTAGCAGACAGCCACAGATGCCAGAAACATGATCCTTAAAAACGTTCAGGGAATTCTGCCCATTTACCCCAGACCATTGGCTTCTACACCACA